GGCTCTTGGACCCTATGCAAGGCAGCGCATGGCATCACGCTGCCTCTGCATAGTAGAAGCCGGTACCCTGGAGATCAAAATGATCCCAGTCCTGGCGAGTTTCTACCCACATCCAATGCTTGACATTGAATTGAAATGTGGGACAGTCAACCGCGGCACAGCAACACTGTGCAGTTATTGCACAGTATCACGCGTAATGACACAACAGAGTGTCGTGATATTGGTGGCTCTTGTCGTTGCACGCCGTTGTCTGTCTTGTTTCGGCGATAAGTGGAACGCTATGCACGATGCGAACTTTAACTTAGCAGCCCTGTATGAATTGCCTGAACTGTGCAGCATGCGTTGAGCTCTGCGGCTTGCACAGAAGTTGTGACTGGAATGACTAGAAAAGTCGTGACAGGAAGCCCCAAGTGGGAGCTTCCGAATATTAGGGGTACCATATTCTGGGGTCCTTGTAATAAGGATCCTACTATTTGGGGTTCTATATTAAGGTTCCACATGTTCGGAAACTCCCAATTCGTGGCTAGGTGAATCTCTTGGCTGGTCCAGAATGCCTGCGAGTGCACAATCATGCTCTCGTCTAGCAGCATGTAACACTGTTTTCTCTAAAGCTGCGTGGAGCTCGGTAATTCGTTTTCCACATCTGCGTGGCAAGTTCGATATGTTTTCGTACTCCGGTCTCAAGATTAGGTTGTATCGCTGCAAGTGTCTCTGGTCACACTGATATGTTTTCATTATGCTACATGTTTCAGCAAGCCATGTATGCATCCTTGGTGGAGCCATGCCTGTCTAGCATAGGGCTAGTTGACCAGGCATGTCATTATCTTGCTCTGCCGCTCGACGTTAGTGTGTGACATGATGCCGCAGGTGCCGTTTGTAAACTGATGTGTCGATAGTCTGGTACACTAGCAAGAGTTGACGTTGCGTGCCTAAACATCGTTCTTCTCGCTTGTTGTGCGACGGACATGGTTCTGGTGTCTACCAGTGGCATATGATCTCTGCCCGTGCTATCAAGGAGCAAGAGGCGTTCAGCTCTTATCTGCTGCTGTGTCTGGTACTAGTGATGGTTTGTGCGGGCCGTGGGGTTGGTATGTTCCGAGTCCTACTCTTGCAGCTGTTGCCGTGGTGCCGGCACTGCGGCTATGCTACTGATCTTCGCCTTGTCTTGTCATTCCCATTGTTGCTGCTGTTGCGTTGAACTCCTATGATTGTCGCTGCCACTGCTGTTGTTGCTGTCGTCTCTGCGGATGTTTGTCGTCGCAGTCGTGATCGTTGCCGACATCTCTGATCATACACACGAGCCGATATGCAGCAGTCACTAGTCACTAGTAATGCCTCACTCGGCACACTACATACTGGTACCGAAGCTTGACGAAACCTGATTAGAAAAGCAAGAGGTATCAAGAGGTTCTCCCAAAGTTGACACTCTCAACTAGGAGACCTTAGCCAGGCTCGCCTTGTTAAGCCGAAAGAATTCTCACTTCCTCACATGATCGCCTCCTGTCGGCCATTGGGTGTCGTCGGCGCTGTTTGCGCAACATCGGCGAAACGGCCAGGCGTCCTCTGCACACGTGTAAAACTTCACACCCAAAATGAATAGAAATTCTTGCCCCTCTCCCCCTGCGATTCAGGAAGTAGTTATACCAGTTCTGACCATGACAGCTGATCGCAGTATCATCTTCCCTGCTTCCGCATCTCGCGGCTCCTTGGTCGAGGCTCTGGGACCTCGGCCGGTCTTGCTTGCACGCGAGAGCAGGGCTTCAGCAACACCATCTCGCCTCATCTCGGCATCGTAAGGCTCTTATTCGCGTGATGCTTGAGTGGCACATCTGCGCTTGCAATAGCTAGGCAGCCCGTCCAGTGTTTTGAATTGCTTCTGCAGTTCCAGCGGGCTCATAAGCACCACTTTAGGGCGAATGTCAAAGGCACACGGTAGCCGTGGTATAGTGTGCCAGTAAGCCCTTGTAAAAGCATGGGTACCCCTTCTGCATACAAGCACGATTCAGTCTTCAAATCGAGTCCCTTTCAAACCAACGTTGCAAAGGCACTACTGGGGGACAAGAAACAGTGCTACGGACATCTACGGACTAGACTAGGCCCGCAGGAGAACGCGTGGCGGAAGAACGACACGATTGATTGCGTACACGGAGGGAAGGTATCCTCCTAGATAGGACATCTCCCGAGACATCCGGTACACTGGCTGTGAAGGAGCTCGCACTTGCATGTAGGGCATAAAGGTCGCGGGCTGGACGATGCGCATCGTCACTCGAAGTGCCGTGCTGTGGACCCCATTGATGATTACCGCAGGACGTTGGATTGTGCCCGGGAAAGCCATGCAACGACTCCGATCGACGAGAAGCGATGAGGCCGGCTTTGCCACTGTCACCGCTGACTTTGGGACTGTTCCACTGTAGCCAGGACAGCCTGCAAACATGATTGTAAGAAAATAACTATAGGCCTTCAGATGGTCTTTTTGGGTTCGAGAGGGTGAAATTCCAGCTTGATTCCAGATGTAGCAGCTTTTTCGGCACTACACTCACACTCGGCTGGTCCAAGCCTTTGCAACTCCATGCTATCTGGGTGTCGGGTTTCGTTGAGGCTTCGGGCTTGTTGGCAAGTTGGAACTTGGCGGAAGCCTGTGATGCTGCGAGCGCTTGCATAGGTCCTGCAATGCTTCCGTGCTGGGCATATCTGAACATAACGCCAGCTCAAGGCTGCCGGCGCCACAGTCGTGGCCTGTCCAGCTGGTAATTAATGCCTTGGGCATCTTCTTTGCAACTGGGTCTGCAGCCACATCGGGCTTTGGAGCCAACCAACACCGCCTTTGGTGTTCCTCGATTTCCGGCTGCGAGACAAGGTCTTCCGTGCCACCGCGTAGAATTCAGGGCACAAGTCCAGCACCATGGTTAGCTAATACCAGTGCTTTTAAACCTTTGGAGCCTGAAAGTCACAGCCCCACACCGTGAAACAATTGAATTCTACTTCAAGCTTGCTTTTGGATGATTCCTCCAGGATGACCGAAATGAGCACGGGATGGTCGTATCATGGCGCATCTACCAGCAGGGCATGTATCTATATACATGCGTGTCTACATATACACATACAAATTATATACACACGTATCTGTATACAGATATTATATGTAAATGCAGATGTATCCACATATGTACATGGGCAAACATACATACATATATACATACATACGTACACATGCACATACACATACACATACACATGCACGTGGTCGCGAGGTCATAATACAGCACAGAGTGCTGGAGTCTGCCCCAACCCAGAAAACCTTGAGACTCACACCTGGTCAGGAAGGAGTTGTGCTTGAAAAAAGAGCATGAACACGGAGAATCGGGAACGTGAAGACGGACATTTCTTCGCATGGAACTTACCACACGATACTTGCTGTCTGCTTGATTTGATAAGGTCGACAAGACAGAGAGACAGCACGAGGGCGAGAGACCGTGTGCCTTCACCCAGTCTTCTGCAATGCAACCTCGAGAGTAGGAAAGCAAAGTCTCCGGCCCAGTACTGGCCCTGATTCATCGTTATGGCCTCTTCCAACCTGTGGAGCCGGGGCTTGGACATGGATGAAAGTGTAAATGATCAGGAGACTGCATTGAGGCGGCTTGCTTTGCAGACTGCGCTTCCAGGTGCTGTCTGCAACGGTGCCGTGCACTTTACTTTGTCTGATACGGAGCGTAAACTGCTTGTAGATGCTACAAGGTGAAACGCAAGATTGCAAGAACAGCTGCAAGCTGCAGGAACCACAAGACTAGAAGATACATAATATAATAATAGAATTGGTTACTTGATATTTCAAGAGAGAAAAGACATAGTTTGATTACTCCATTAAGTAAACGAATAGTTTTTTGAAAGATACAAAAATGAATTATTTAGATAAGCTTATGTAAAATATTCATTTCAATACATACGTAGGGAGATGGTGGCATGTCAGAAGGCCGCCGGAATTCAACATGGTACAGACTCACCGCAGCAATACATTTCAGTACCGCGATTCATTACCGTCAGTTATAGAATGGAACCTGGCGATGGCGGTTTCTGCTGTCCCTCAATCAGCAGCCCGAAGATCTGAAGATCTTTTGCCAGGCTTTGGCTTTCCTACACGCCTAACGGCTTCCAGAGGGCAGGGTCGTCTGGGAAGCTGTTGCCCCCGCTCCAAACCCTAAACACTTGTTGCTTCTTGAAGTCGGATGGGTACACGATAAAGCAGGGCTGAGATGGAGACCCGGGAATCAACTCCTCCACTCCATCCTCCACAAGCCTCAGAAGCAAGGTCCAGAGGAGTTATGGTGTACGCCCGTCATGGATACGGACATTAAGCGGGACAGCAAAAGTAGAAGAAGGATCTAGAATCACTGTCACCACCTCGGGCACATAGACTTCCCTCACATCTGCATCATCTTGGGACAATGTTCGCGGCTGCCCTACAAGACGCGAGTGCATCACCAAGTCTCGTACGTTTTCGGCCTCCAAGGCTGCAATCTCCTTGCATGCCCTGTGGCCTGGGCTTCTGTAAAAGCAGAGCTGACGATACTGTCACAACACTATGAGTCCCACGTTGGGGGCATAGAAACATCAGGTTGTTGGCCGCAGGGATGATGAGATGCACGCAGATATCAAGCTTCACAGAGTCTGGGCATGGTACAGCATCGAGCCCGTGGATAACTGCTCATAATTCAGTAAGCTTAACTGCGTAACGCTTAAGTTGAAGTGCAGATTCAAGCCCTGGGCATGGCAAGTCGCAAGCACCATTTTTCGGAACGTACGCGACGGGTCCTGTAATCAATCAGTCATGTAGCAGGCGACACTTTATGGTATCGGGATATATTGACAATGAGCAACGACGTCTGTGAACCCTACATCTGGCCAAGAACATGTACGTACGGAAAGCCTCAGTAGCTTGCTGACTTGTCGCTGCACTGACCACACCGGGCAGAATAGATTCATCAAATGAAGGAGCATGCGAATCATGGCGGGGGTTGGGCGAGAACCACTTGCGAACGATAGCCGAGAACGTCAGTCACCTCCGTGTCCAGAATGTCCCAGCCAAAGCCTCATCAACAGACATGTCGTAGAGCAAACAAGGGCTGGTCAAAACCTCTGTTCCTCCAAGTTTTAGCATGACCGAGCTTCAAGCTCTCAGCATGTCACAGGACTCGCAGGTGAAAGAGCTCTTTGGCCAGCCTCCTTTCAAACCCTAGGTCCTAGGTTCTGACCGCCAATTGGCCGATTGCTTTCGCTTGGAAGCACGGCGCAGATCTTGTAACAAAACTTCTTCAAGCGAACCTAAGACCTAAGAGCATCACAGGAGCAAGGGCCAAGCAGGCACCACCGTGACGATCAATGCTGGCGCACGTGCCACGCCGGGCACACGGGTGCATACATCAGTGACTACTTCGATGCATACACACAGCTGTCTTGTTTGCACATGCGTGCAGTCTGTAGATTATGCAATCTATCTGTCTATGTATATACACATGTGCAAATACATAAATATTTATATATACTTATGACTTATATATGTATATATGCACAAATGTATACATATGTCTATATACATCTGTACACAGTTTTCTTTACCCATGTATTTAAAAGGCTCTATCTGGATTCACGCACCTCGGAAAATGCAGGCATACGTGCATCTGCGATCAAGTGAGTGAGTAAGTGAGTGTGTGCGTGTGTGTAAGTATGTGTGCGGGGATATGTATGTTATCATGCATCAACATATGTATGTATGGATGTATGTATGTATACATGTATCTATACTCGTATATACATACATGCACAGATATTCTCACACATTCTTAGGCAATACTGTGGACGAGCCGTTGCTGAGCATCACCTGGCAAAATTGCACTGAAACAGCTAAGTTTAGCAAAGAGGCTTCTAAGCTTGGCGGCGAGGTCCTTCGGCCTGAAAATACTCGCTTTCACTGGCGATGCTCCTACTTGCAATGCTGCAGGAAAGAAAAGCTAGTCATCATCACATCCACCGCCATCAGCGTCAGTATCATCACTGCATTCATCAGCACAGTCAGCACCCACGCTGTCAATGCTATGTGCAAGTATATATGTTCGAAGCCATGGCCCAGGGTACTTAGTACAGCCTTGCTGACTTCTACACCGGCCTGAACCATGGGGAGTTCACGTTTTTCCGTTCGAAACCGATGCTCCCATGACTCCCACGCTCGCCTGCAGCCCCCAACCACTGATGGCTGGTTTAGCCACACGGTCTCCCACACCTCCATGAACCTTTCAAGCGTCAGCAAACGCATTCGGTTCCCGGCTTGTCAAAAGCTGTAAGTATGTTGATGATTGATTTGGCGGTCCAATGTCAAGATGACCGAACTATTCTACTATTCTACCTCTAAGACTCATGATGTCAGCTGGATGTGGTATCCCCTAGACTAGCCGTGACTAGTCATGCAAAACGATGTCCATAATCCACCTCTGCTTGCACACAGACAGGCGAACACCAGAACATCGCATGCGAATGCAACCCTCACACATAACCGTCTGAAGGTTGCTGCATGCTCTGATATTTGCCCAACTCTTGATCGTTTTGGGTGTGCTGTGGTTTGGACAGACTGTGCGAGCTTCAGGCTGACAGGTAGCCATGACTGTGGTTAGCAGCGTCTGTTCACTTGAACCACGCATGTGCGTACGTGTGTGTGTGTGTGTGTGTGTGTGTGTGTGTGTGTGTGTGTGTGTGTGGTGTGTGTGTGTGTGTTTGTGTGTGTGTGTGTGTGAGTCTTTGCTTTGTCGCTTTTCTCTGTGCGTCGTGGTGCAAGCGAGCGGGGGCTTTCGATGCTTGGCCGGTTACTTCAGCAGAAAGGCAGAAAGTCACACACTCAAGTTCAGCATGTAGGCTAAGCTGACCAGTCAAGCTTCTCAACGACTGCATTCATGAGTGTCGTTCACCCCGACACAGGCTCAACCTGTTGCACGTATTTGACAACTGCTGCCAAGACTCTTGCTCCCGGGGAAGATGCCTTGATGCAGAGTTTAAGCCTACATGAATGCAATCAGGTCGGCACCAAGCCGGTGGCTACGGAATGACACATCAGAAACTCGTCACAGTCGCCGGTCGAAGTAGTGTTCAAGGTATAACATGGGCAGGTATGTATGTGTATATACACAAAAATTTGTTTACACACACACAATCTCGAACTACGGTCGCAGTGTAAATCAACATCAAGCTTAACTGCATCCGAGCTGCTGGTTGCGGCCAACAGTCCTCCAGATTCCTTCTCAAAGCCGCAACGGGGTGATGCAAATTCAGGCGCCGATAGGGCTGATGCAGGAACTGCTCTCTTCCTTGCTGAAAGCTGCTCTTATTACTCTGCACCCTCCAGTTTTGATGAGACAGACGAGCACCTTGATGGTCTCCGACAGTGGTTGCAGAAGATAGTCTGTCAAAGGGGAAAAGGAGGGACCCTTAATGGGGACCTCTACCCTATAATGGCTATACAATGGGTATATCATAGCTATATTAAGGGTATATACTTCTAGGGGTCCTTATTAAGGGTCCCTCCTGTTACCCTTGGAGTCTGACGTCACGCTTATCCACACCCTCGAAGTCCTGGAGCAGGTCAGAGCACTGCGCCAGAACTCTCTCTAAGTCCTGGCAGGCGATGCTACTTAACAAGGACCCCTAGGCATATACCCTTAATATAGCTATTCTATACCCATTATATAGCCCAGTATAGGGTAGGGGTCCCCGGAGGCTGCATTCAGTCGACTGCGCAAGGCGCATGAATATACAAGCAGATGCAAACACACACAAACACAGATGCACGAAACCAGATAGCCTTATTAAGGTACTGAGTTGCAGGTTTGACAAATCACTTTGATGCTGTCCAGGAAGGGCCGGGTTCCTGGTATGTCGTTTGAAATTTACAGTAGGGGCTGGAAGCTGAAACAGGCCAAGCTAGTGGCTTCTTCTTGAACGTAGAATTGGTTGAGCCATCGCTGCCAATTGACTTAAACTGGTAACTGGATTCTGGGGGCAAGGGTCAAGCAGCAACTCTAAGATAGGCATCGTGAAGCGGTTGCCTGTCATGCAGGACTGAATGCCGCGCCGGTCCTTATCGTCGAAGATATCCTCGAAGCAAAGGGGCAAAGGTAAGAGTGTTGCGAGAGCCGTGGGCTCGGTGCTAACTTGCAGCTAGGCCGCAAAGACATATGATGCCACGATTCCTTGGCTGCAGCCGGCTTGCGGTACCATATGCTGCTGTGTTCACTTCAGGCGTCATGGACCGGCATCAGTCGCTGGCTGGTGGTTGCCATGCACCAGACCAAGCAAAACACAAGGTTCGAGTGCGGCATGCCGTCGACTACAGCTGTGACGTCCGGTATTTGGGGAGCTCAACTCAAACCCATGGCTGCTGGAAACAGTTTTCACCAGCTTATTTCGAATCCACAAGGAAAAACATCTTGAAGGCAGACAGCTTGCCCAACAGACACAAACCTCGAGTAAACCAGGATATATTTCTGGACAGCTTGAAGTCGCCTGCAGCTACAGTGGTAATTGCGTAGCATGTGCCGACAGACAGGCGCATCAACTAAAAAATGGGATCCGAGTGAACAGCGACCAAGATGTACGTGCACAGGATCTTTCTCCAAACCGGCGCAGTCCTAACAACCTGTATTCGAGCAAACTTGGGTTCGAACTACGAGGTTGGCACAACTGCTACATAACACTATACTACCCAGAAGAAAGCCAATCGGGAAGTGATCATTAATTGTCTCTCGGCGTGCTCATGATTTGGAGCCAGAATCCAAGTATTCCCATGTCGGCTACTATAAATTGGACTCGAATAAGTGGTGAAGGTTGCCCGGTTCTCTGTCACGAACATATTATTCACCTGAGCTAATGACGAAACTCGACCGAAAGGACTCGTAGGCCGTAGGCACTGCGGCGATCCACTCTTTCTTTGTGCGCTCTGCGGGAGGGAAAGCTTCTGTCATCTGTCCATATCCGCAAAAACAAGCTTGATGCCAGATGCGTTGCCATGTACAAACCGCAAAAGGCAACAAGCCTGTCGAATTCTGACGCATCGGGCTTTGGGGCTTAGGGGTTTGGGTAGCAGCGACGATCCACGCACACGATGCCATGTGCATGGAAGGGGATCACTGAGCTAAGGGGCTGCAGGTGCAGCAGTGCCAAAGTGGCAGCGTCGAAAATTCCAAGGCTACTCTGATCAGACGTCGTGTTGTACAACACTGACAAGAGCATCCCATCATCCTCTGGTCGATGACCGCCCTCCTGTGGCCCCAGCTGGAAACAGTATGGTGTCTTGGTGCTGGTTTTATGAGAAATGACAGGCACAAATAAGCATGTGCACACAGACGCATGTCACTCGATACTTGGAGATTCTTCGCGACCGCCCGCTTGAACCACGCGCCTCAAGCCTGAAGTACCCACGTCCATGCCGAGACCTCAACCCTGAAACAAGGCCGTCTCCCGCCACGGGATGAAGTCCGCTTCAGTCAGGTAGATGCTTGGAGCAGACCAAGCATGCTCCACGGACCTGTTTCTGTTCAAAGAAACTCATGGCTCTTCCACCTCAATGCGTGGAACCAAGTTCCGGGGTTACTTTGCCAACACCCATGGCTCCGAGATGTACGGACTGCGTACAGCGAACTTGAGTTCAGGGCCTCGTCTGTGCATTGACTTTGATGAGCTCATCGAACCACCTGGCTTCAGCTCACATGGAGCCGCACCCGTATCCCATTGCAACACTGAGGTCACACCTTTGCGCTCGATTTTTCTCTCATTTTCTCTCTCAGTCCAGTTTCTATTGGCCGAGGGGTCTGTATGGGGCTGCATGCAAACACGAAACACTGCCTTTGATCCACACTAGTGTAGACCAAAGCTTTCCGATCAAGGTTCCCACAGCAAGTTCACCATCCCAGCCCAAGTTGATGCCTGGAGGTCGGTGCCTTCGCAGCGATGGCATAGAAGTACCTCGGCAGAGTCTTGCAAGGGGCTTATACTATGGGGGAGAGCCGAAGCCCAAATTGCAATCAGACCCTTCATCGACCTCAGAAATTAAAAGAAAATGCTCTGCACATGCAAGAATAGAAGAGCGATGCAGGTCCAGGTTATGTTAGGGTACTTCCAATTGAGCCGAGTTGGACTCGTTTGCTGGCTGAAATCCCCACCAAACCCCGCCCGCAGGCATCTTGAGCTTCGACTCCGTGGTCCAAACGGGAGTTTCCGAAAATTGGGGGGGGGGGGGGGAGGTACCATATTTTATAATAAGAATCCTACTATTTTGGGTACGTGTACCATATTAGGGCCCCCTGTTTTCAGAAACTCTCAAATTGCAAACGGTGGTGAACGCAAGCCTGTGTGAATTCAAGCAGCTTGTACTCAGGGTTCATCTTGAAAGCCGGATTGAACGTCGGGTAGTCAAAAATCACTGCATCATCATCCTCGAAAAGATAAATCTCGCACCACGAAGGCATCAGCATATTAATGCTTGGCTTAAATCTTCTACGCAGCTTCTCTTTGTAGCTGTCTCATGTCAGAGCTGTGGGGAGTCTAGGTGGGCCAGCAGGATCTACGCGGAGGCAGAACGCCAGCGCTGCAACTCCCAGGTCCTTGGTGAAGAACTTCTCGCATGAGACCGGACCCCCAGTCGCCGCGGGTAGGAAACACCGCAGAGCCGGATGGAAAAGGCGCGTCCAGTTCCTAGGCATCCGGACACATGCTCTTTTGCGCAACGGTCCTGACTGACTTTGCCTGTTTGAATCGCACAGACTCTGGCATGGCCCAACAGCAGTCTCCCCAGCAAGCGCGCTCGTCACATTCGGTACGGTAGCATTGCACTCGGTTCCCTCTCGCGTCGAGAGTTCATGACGTAAAAGCACATCTTCTGCCCCTGCTGCTAGACACGTGCGAACGGTGCTGCTTAGCGACCTCTCAGCTGCCAAGTTCTTCTCAAAATAATTGTCCAGATAATCCTCTGTGGCGGCGACACTGTCCTCAATCGGATGGATGCTGGTTGCACAGGAGCTTCCCCGTTTCATCGAAGCATCCGGTCGTGAGTCAGGCAGTATAATAATGATCGAATATATGCTCTAGACTCAAGTCACACTAAGCAAGGCAGAGACAGCACCATGGGCTACAAGCATGTTTTCATCGACTAGCCGTTTTCAGGGCCAGCGTTTCGGGATCTTGAGTGGAGGTATCAATCTAGCACGAGAGGATAGGCCCGCTTTACAACTGAACAAGCATCAAGCACAATGTTGCCGTCCCTCTCATAGCAATTCCAGAAATGGTTGTTGACGAAGTTGACGCTTCCTCACAAACATGCTGTGAGGTCGGGATGATGTTGTGGTTCGGACTGAACATGGCTGAACGATCTGCTGCCACGAGGACATCGAACTCGAACTTGCAGCATGGCAAAAGAAGACAGCTTACAAACACACGAGGCCAAAGCCCACACCTCACAAGCATGTCCCTCCTCGAAGAATCGTGGACTTGTTGGTCTTCCGGTCCATGACTAACCACAAGTCATCCTCTGCCTCACAGCAGGTACGACTTGAAACTGCCTTGAAGCATCAGCGTCGCAACGCCGCTAGTTTATCGCTTGACGGGCCGGGAATAGTTACCCTAGAGCCACTCACCCGGAAAACTGCGACTCTTCGTTGCATGGCTCTCGGTTCTTATCCCGAAGGGATGGTAAGACATAGCGAAACCGCAAGCAGTTTCCAGCCTGGTGGAGGAAGCGCAGGACTCCCGAGTTGCCATTCCTCAAAACTCCGCAACACTGCCATCTGCCTTTCATAGCATCCGATCAGAACATCCCCCCCCCCCCCCCCCCCACGGTGATCCCCTACATTTGTCCTTGCGAGGTACAAGAACTTCTTGTGCCGAGCTTCAGGGGATCTCGGGGAGTGAAGCTGTCGATCTTGCTGACGACATAGCTTTGTGTGACGCATGGGCTGTGGCCTCAATCCGTCGCGAAATGCCACGATCCCTCGCTCTCAGTCTAGCTTCCATTGCTGGCTTCCGCTTGCACATCTTGCACACGGCTGAGCAAGCTTACAAGCACTCGAGTCTTCGCTGCCCGGCCGCTGTGCTGGATGAGCTTCCTTGACGGCAACTCTACCCTGCTGATCTCCACTGTCCGCATTCCCTGTGCCTTGAATGGTAAGGCTTTGGTCAATAAGTGGCTATGCGCTGCGGCTCTGTCGGAAAACTGGTGCACGTGGATTTGCAGGCTGCCCTCTCAAACTAAACTGCACGTGCCAAGGGGCAGCGGGCAGGAGTTGGCCCACACAAGCCTGCAACATGGTCACGTGCTGTGCTGGATGCTCATAGTTTGCGTGGACATCGTCGGGCCTGATTCGTGAAAGGCTGGCGGTTCGAGCCGCAGTTGTACCTGTTGTGGGCAAATTTCGCCACGAGCCACAGCAAGACCGTGCTCCAAGTACTTCGATGGTCCGTCAAAAACTACGTGATGTGCCTCTCGCTCAAGTCTGTCATCACCTGCTGAAACACAGGTCTGATGAAGGCGAGGAGCTGCACGAAGCAGGCTTTGCTGGAAGGATCACATGCTGGGTGAGCATTCAGCACCGTGGACTCCACCTGGCATAGGCGGCTGGGCCCAAGACCCACGGCCCTGGACGACTCGGCTGCGAACGGTGCTGACTTCGTTTAGGAACATCATGCCACGTCTACGGGACAGCCGTGCAAAAATGGACTCATGCAACAACATAACCGTAACACATCACATCGTGACTGTGGGGAGGATCGTCTCCAGCGCGTGGAGGCCAAGTTGCCGTCACTCTCATTGAACCTCCTTTTGGAGATTATTCTGGCTCAGCAAACTTCGCAGGAAAGTCTCGCACTACGTTTGATAGGGCACTGCCGTTTAACCCACTGAAAGCACTCTGACGAAGTCAAGGGCCTCCACTTCATCCGGCATGGTCTCTAAAGTCTCAGGGTCCACCCTGCCCCATTTGGACGTGTCGGTGGTAAGCCAAAGCTGATCCTTCGCACAGCGCTGCACACGCGATGTCGGGTCCCCTACTGCGATGCATTTCCTTCCTGTCTCGCGACCCTTCGAGCTTGGGCTAGAACTACACTCATTCTCATGCCGAAGGATGTCTCAAGGTGTCTAGGAAGAGTCGCCGACACAGCAAAGACTTCAGCAAGCTTGCATGCAGATGCACGGCACACGGTCCTCAATGGGGAGCAGATTTACGACCGGGTTCGTCAGGCAGGGATAGATGCCCAAAGTTGGGCCTGTACCGGTGCCACCGAAGATGCACGAGTTGAAGTGCCTTCGCGGCCATATCCGCGGATTTCAGTGACGCACCGGAGAAAACATTACTTTTCTAGGCTGTAGACTGCTGCAGAGATATGGGAAAACAGGGTCGCAGGAGTGCTGCCTGTGAGGAGAGCAGACGTGACGCGCGGAGCCAGTTTTTGCAGGATCGCTCGTTGGTACAGTACACTCGGTCGCGCTCTCTTGGCCTCATGAAAACCTTGCTGCTTGCATGATTAGTACCGCTCATTTTATGGCGAAAGAAAACTCCACGTGACGAGCGACAAGCAGATATTTCGGAGGACCCATCACCCTCTTGGCACAAAGCTTCGCGATGTCAGCTGCTGAGCCTCAAGAAACCTCAAGCTGACGTATGTCCCAAGCCCTTCTGTGCCGGATCGCTTCTCTGCGCCGGACTCGTACGGCCGGGCCGTCCAGGTGAGGCGACCCTTCGAGAAGCTGAACTTCACCTGAGCGGCAGTGACCACATGTCTTCTGAGTCTTCTGCTATCAGAAGCAAGCGGCAAGAATGACACTGCAAACGCCAGGTGTATGTGGGTGCACATGCGCGACTCGAGATGCAGATTGCGCTTCCGCCTGCACGAGTATCGTGTGCTCATCGCGTATGCTACACTGTACTGTGGGACAGGACAGAGATGTGGAGCAATGCCTTAACTGAACGCGGAGCCGAAATACAGAGTCCACAGTTAAAATGATTTAACTGAAACTGTGGAACCGAATTCGAGGCACCTCAAACTACCACTCGCACCATCCCGATGCAACTGAGCGGCCACGGTCGCCAGGCCATCAAAGTGGAAGTGCATCCCATCGGGGAAGATGCCGGGTACCAATCCTAAGTAGCTCAGTGAAACGGAGCTGCCCTCTCCGAATGCACCGTAGGAGCCCTCGAACGGCCAGCGATCCAGGCGGCTGTAGTGTGTGACGCCCTCCAGGTCCGCTGCAAGCTTTTCTGGCAAATCAGCAGACGAGCTGGAGTTGCCTTGGGATCTTTGTTCTATGGGTTATATCTGTGTCTCTGGCTAGCCAGATTGATGCTTGCCTCTGTTTTCATGTTCAGCTAGGGAAATTTACGACTTGAGTTGTTCTGAAGGCCCTGGTACCAGCGCGGATACGTACATTCTGTCGGGGATCTGCTGTGAGCCTGCTACACTGTATTCGATTGCTCCAGCTGATATCATCTCAACAATGCAGGCATTTGCAGGTGCTGCTTGCGCGCAGGGTCGAGCTGCTATCTATCGACATGAGTTGCTGCGCACTGCTGCTATCCTTGGTACTATGCTGAGAAGTCTGGGAATTCTCAAGACCCTCGCCGGCACTGGAAACCCGAGCGTGCGTGGAGGTTCCCTGAATTTTGGGCTTTCTCAGTTATCCTGACGTGGGCGCCTATACTGGGTCCCATGCTGAAGTCGACGGCCCGGAGGAAGTAGCCCAACGGCTGGCGTGCATCCTGTCAGGTCTCGTCGAGCGACCGATGAAAGGGTACTTGTGGTGCAGGCTTCGGTTTTCAGTTGATCTCTCGTTGGCTCGGCTTGTGATTCCTTGCTGGCGTCCTGAGCTGTCTTGTGTTGAATGTGGGAGACTGAGCAGAGGGATTCGCTGGAATCAACGTGTGCCCAAACAGGGCCTGCCCCAAGTGCGCAAGCACACGCAAACACACACACACACACACCCACACACACACACACACACACACACCCAAGCACACACATACACAAGCAGACCTGGTCATACACACCCTTCCAACTTATCTAGTGATGACTGTTTGTATGGAGGTCGACTGCATGAGTGGGCAGAGGCATATGCGAATGTATGTGTGCTTCCAGATGAAGGAATGATAGAGGGAACAATGAATGAATAGTTGATTGAATGTATGGATGAATGGAGGAATGAATGCAGGACTGACTGGCTGACTGACTGCGTGAGTGAAGGAAGGAATGACTGAACAAAATGAAAGGAAAGAAAGATGAAATCAAACAATTTGCGTGGATGAGGGAATGATTGAACGGATAAATGAATAAATGGATGAATGACTGAATGAATACATCAACAAATGAACGAATAAACGAATGAATGAATGAATATAAAAATGATGGAATAAACTGATGAATGAATGCATGAATGAATGGACGTCAGGAACGCACGAATGAAGGAAGGAATGGATGACTGAATCAGTGAATGAACGAATACATGAGCAGACGTCTCTATGAGGCAAAGGTCCGTATAGAATGTATAGATACATAGACAGATAGAGACACAGACAGATAGATAGGAAGGTAGAACATAAATAGAATAGACATGTGTGTACATTTGTATATGCGTACATATATATATATACATACATACATACATACATACACACACACATATATATATATATATATATGTGTGTGTGTGCTATTGTGTATATACATATGTACATGTGTGTATGTATGTGTACATATATATATATATATATATATATATATATTCAGACAAGTACATACACATCCATCAATCCACCCACCCCCGCCTCGTTGGCCGAGAAGCTAAGCCACGTGGGCCAGGATGCCTCAACATACTATGCGTTGTGTAAATTGGTTATATATAGCAGGCATATGATGATACGTATGTATATATATATATATATATATATATTATCTGAGTTGGCCCCGCAGTTGCCGAGTCATGGGAATATCGATGATCCACGCCATGAGGGCTCGAGATCTTGAACAAGGCAACCAAAAATGCACAGTGCCTCCCGCATCAAGATGGAGCATCTCCTCGAACGATCTCTGACGGGGTTCTGTGTGCCTGTGGCCCTGTGGTCAACGCAAACCTAACAAGATCCCATGTCCAGCAGAACCCAACTTACCGCTGTGTCCAGCAACCCCAAGAACTGACCTGGTGCCTATGTGCCGCAGACTGCATTGCTGGCATATTGCCGCCAGGGAACTGCCAAGCCGACGATGCAAACCGGCAGGGACATGAACCAAAGGCACCGCTTCATGGCTCCCTGCTGTGTCCCCGACCTCTGGGTGTCCATTCCCATCCCGGGCTTGAGCAGCGCTGGAGAGCAGGGGATCGAAGACCGGGGCTTCGCCTGTGCTTCTGCTGCTACATCGTGGTTACTTCCTGCTCCATTAAGGCTGAATATACTAGTAGAACTCAAGTCTTGCAGCAGCGGTGCGATCGGGCACGCCGCCGAGCATCGTTTCACAAGCCTGCAATCTATGGATGACTGCTGACCCTTTGGTCTCAACGTGCTAGGGCTACGGCTAGGGGTGTCAAGAAAACTGCGTGTCTGGAACGCAAGTGAATCACAATGCGAGGAAAGCCGGAACTCAATCCCAGGCTGCGCTCAAATTGTGATGCAGCGAGAAAACCACAGCGATTGGATCAAACATTGTGTTTCAATAGATGATATGAGAAAGTACAAACAAAGCATAGACCACCTAGAAGAAAACTCGAAACAAATGCGGTGTGAAGTTCAGAGTTTCTAGAAAGAAGGGGTGGCACTTATGTGTAAAACGTGTAAGTCATGACACAAGCACGCATACGGACCTTCTTGACTGTTTGCTGCCATGAACAGCTGGATTTGCAGGAAGCTCCTGAAAATTGGAACACGACATCCTTTGGTCGTCAGATCCCTGTTGCCCCCAACCCTACACAACATAATCCCGATGCACCGCGTATGCTACACTACAGCCTGATCCTTTGATCCTTACCTGGACCCCACAAATTAGGTGAAATACTGTCCCAAACCCTACAAAAGGCTATTATTTTAAATACTTCTGGGGTCCAGGTACTGACTGTACGCCCCCACAGCAGCGCCTCCTTCAAAGTGCCCGGACGCCGAGCATCGGCTTGGACGATGCTGGCAGCCGGGATCTTGGACATTGCTCGTGCCTCGTATGGTGAGCTTCTTCAAGTAAAAGCCAGAAAGTTGGAATATGATTATCCTAAACCCTTTATGGTAGATTATAAGGTATCCTACCCTAAAACCATATTCCGACTTTCTGGAGTTCCCTTTAACAACAAGGGTGCTGCTTTGAAGGCTCGGTCTGGCAAGGTTCTTGCTTCTTTACTGTCGATATTCTGGTCCCTGGTTAACGGAAATGCCAGGTATGCTGAAGTTGTCATACTCGAGACTCGCGCAGTGGATCAACCGATAGGTCACGGACTCTTTGGAACAGGGCTCTTTGCAACCATTTTCCCTACATCCCCAAATCTTCGCTACAAACACCATGACAGCATGTCTCAGAATGCTCTAGACATGGTTCGGGAAAACTTTTGAGGCATTTCTGACTCTAAGTTTCGAAACTAGAGCGGCAATTAACGAAGCAGTAGGGACGCTAAAGCGATCAGTACTTTCTGGAACTTCGCGACCCCATGGAGGCAACAGTACGCCGTGAACTGTACCCGCCCCCCCCTCCCCCAACCGTTGGTGAATAGCTTTGTGCATCCTTGCTGCCTGCATGTATACAATACAGTTTCATTTGCACAAGGAGTCTCTGTCAGCACTACCAGTCCCTGTAGCAGCTAAACCTGCAAGTTTACGATGGGCTTGCTGCACATGAGGCCGGGGAACTGCTTCTTCTGCCATTGTGCTGGAGGAGTCCACGCCCAAGTAGCGCAGTACCTAGAGGAAGTTGAGTTGCGGGGCCAGATTTGTGAGGTGTGGGACTGTATACACTCCAGGACGTATTGAAAAAGCATCCCTTTCGCTTCCTCTTGCTAGGTGTGCAGAGACAACAACTAGCCTGAGAGGGTCTGGCTCGTTCAGAGATTGCAAGAATGCTGGGGAAGCTCTGCATCAGGATCTCGAATTTGCGCATCTTGCAAAATTTCCGCGATGCTCATCTCAGCATACCATTGTACACATGTAAAGCCTTCAACAATCTCTCCGAGCACTCTTCAACCGTTAAAGAGAAGACCGTGCTGCGGCGCCTACACCTGCATAGTGAGTCTAGTCAAGCTCGAATGTGCGTGTATGTAGGTATAGATGTTTGTGTGTATATATATATACACACACACATACACATGTCCATTTTTGCACATGTGTATATTTATACAGTTTATTAGACGCAATATATACGCATTTATATATATATATATATATATATATATATGTATGTAAATATGTGTGTACGTGTGGATATGAGTATTAACATATATATATATATATATGTACACGTATGTTGTACATGTACATGTACAATCATTTACTACAGGTGTATGTGTATGGACGTCAGCCTCCAGCCAAGCGTCACCTGACGAGCTGTCGTAGATACCTTGCGCCCATCGGCCTGAGCCGCATCCCAGCTCCAGGATGCTGGCCTCTCGCTACATACCGACATGCAGGAAATCATGAACACTGCCTCGTCGCTTCTCGGCGAGTCGAAAGGACCATCTGTCATCAGCTTCCCTCATTTTCTGACTTCTCCCTGACTTTGATCCGACCTGTCCCATCAGTCACTCGCAACTCTTTACATCCGCCAAGCCCTGACTTTGATCGGACCTGTCTCATCAGTCACTCTCAACTCTGTACATCCGCCAAACCAGTACCTCACCCTTCTCCAGGCCGGCCATTCGCGCGACGGCTGCCCTGGCCTGAGACTTCCAGAGAGTCACCGGCCTGCTACTCACCTCTGCGAAGAACTGCAAGTACGAAACTAATATATATATATATATATGTATATATATATATATATATGTGTGTGTGTGTGTATTTTATGTATGTATCTATTCGATGCAGCAGCTACACACTTCTACGAAGCACCAGGAGTTACTAGTGAGTGCACCTTCGTGTGCAACCCCTATACGAGCTCAAGAGCGAAACTGCACAAAGCACTGGAAACTCCATGCTGTTGGAGGGCGCCATCTTCGAAGGGCGCAACAAGATCGATAAGGCGACCTGTCAGGAGTTCTCAAGGAAGAGTCTCGTTGAAACCGCGAGCAGTCGTTTTGTTTGCACATTCCTTGATGCATGAGGTCTATTGGATTCGTTGCGGGTTGAGTAGCGAGAAGTATAGCTCCAGCTTGGCGTCGAGCTCAATCTGCACTGTAGGGGAGGGTAGACTCTGCCTCTTTTCCAGAAGGTCAACAATGCTTCCATTCCGAGCTCCAATCCAACATGATGGTTGTATGTACTAGAGGCAGCCCTTCTGCAATCTACCGCCCTCGTGCTTCAGCCCATGCCTGAACACTGAGCATCCGAAGCAGGGTAGTCCCTCTTTGCAGTCTGCAGTCTGAGGCCACTGCCAATAAGGTTGTAGAAAGCAGTGGAGTCGAAGTCAACGTCTCCGTCCACCAAGACCTAAATCGACCAATACCCGACCTCTACTTGTAGGTGAAGAAAGCTGGGAAGGGATGTTTGAACGTAGTCCCGCATCCAACTTTCTGAGCGGAATCTCGCCAGTGGCAGCTAATTGGAAAACATGTGCCGTCGCCGCAGACCCAGAGACACTTCAACAGAAGCCGGTAACGCTACGAACCTAGTGCACCCCGAACAATCCGCGCTGCATTCCCGCAAGATCCTTCAATCGTCGGCAACTGTCTTAAAAGCCGCGGCACGGCGAGCCTCCGCAGCACAGACGTGTGGGAAGCAGTTTGTGAGCCTCTCCTGAATCATGTTTGGACTTGCACGAAACGGGCTTCTGGACCGAGATGTCATGTTTGCGGGCAGGAGCGACAGGAAATGTCTGTGCCAAGTGCAACGACCAGCGTCAACCCGGACAGGCATAATATGCACAACTTGAGTGTACATGCCCGGCTGTTTGCTGCGCTTCTTGCCTGAGGATTCCGAGGTACAGTTCCTGTCTCACAGGGAGTCCCTACTGCAGCGTGAAAGCAGATATTCTTGCATGCCCTTCTTGGACTTTATGGACAGCAGCAGAACATAGCAGAACCGGGACCTGCATATATTATGTTTTTTGCATGTGGTATTCGCAGTGAACGAAGCCGGGTCGCCCTCCCAACGCATTCAGCAGAGTCTGAAGCGGAGGCGATGGTGCATATCGAATCTCTGACACAACCTTGGCTTTGGATTCATTTCGACACTAGATAGCAAGTCGGCACCTTTCATGAACAGCTATAGATTGCCGACCTGTCCTCGAGCCGCGCACTCCCCACAAGGCTTTACTCGGACAGGTGCTATGCATCCAAAACACAAGTGCCCCGCTGCCGGCAGCAGCAGCCGAAACACGGACCGTGTGTAAGAACGAGTTGTCTTCGCCGTCCTGAGTCCCCAGGAAGTCGAATGACATAGTTGCGAGCCAAGGCGTGGGGAGACGGAGAAAGCCCCAAATTCAGACTCTGAGAACTTCCGAAGTTACAGTTACTAGTACCCCACCAAGCGACAATACCCTGCCGGCGCTCACTTCAAACACAGGATGCCAGGATCTAAGTGGCCGCATGCACACATGGTATGCCCCCAGAATTCCAAGAAATCAAAAGCCCACGGAGCATCAATCTCGGACCCTCCAAGTGCCTGCCAGGAGCCACGCTACCCAGCATCTCAAGCTGGCCTGTAGCTTCGGTGAAGTCGGCTTTGAGGACCTGCACGGCAGCAGCCGGATCGAGACAGTTCGCGGCCAAAGCTTCGTCATTCCTTAGAAGCTGCCCCCACCCTGTAATAGTGACTATAAGGATTATGTTAGGGCCCTGTTATACTCCTATTACATTCCTACTATACCACTATTACAGGGTGGGGGCAGCTTCTAAGTCATTCCCTTGTCTCGACTTTGATTCGGGCAAAGCCGGACAAGACACCTCGAAGACATTGAAAGACTGAACCCAATGAGCACATTCGGAAGTTTTTTTGGCTCCTGCACGGCATGTTCACAAGGGCAAACCCCACTCAAACGTGAATACCACATCAACCTTCGCTCATCCTGCCTTCCACTGGAAGCGGCGCACTTCCTGGCCGAATGCTCCAACCACGCCGCAGATCTCTCCGTCGGACTGCAAGGGGCCACCTTCGGTGCATGTCACATCAAGGCAGCGCATAGTCCAAAAATGCGGAGGGTGCATTGCTTCATCCACGGCCGCCGCTACTGATTAGAATATTTCCGCTGCCACTACCACAGCTTCTACGACTATGACGGCGACTACGACTACGATACTCCCTATCGCAGTCGTCATCCTCATCATGATCTAAAGAGCTTCGCAACATCTGCGCAGCAATAAAATCCAGAGTGCGCCCTCACCATTCAATACTCATAACTATCATCACAACTGTTCTCGACATCAGTTTGGCCATCATCATAAGCATCAGCCTTTCTGTTGAATAGATTGTTATCGTAGAGACCACCATGCGTGATCCATCATCATGATCGCAAAAAACCATCTGCTAAATCATCATCATTAGCACGGCAATGGGCTTGCATTGTGATCCCTTCGCGTGCTCTTGCAGCAACTTTTCCCCCTGCCCAATCCCCATCACCACCGCCAACGCCCACCCACACCGCCACAACCGCCACGGCCTGTTACGTCCAGTAGTTGCAGCGGCCATGGGATGCCATAGCATTCCTCGAGATGTGGTACTGTCTTCGTCTCGTGTTCTTGGGTGCTGAAAGGTTGGTGCTGGTGGTGACTGCTCGAGGCCCTTGGGTTTGTTCAGCATCGACTGCATATCGACGGATCTCCTGCGCGATTTCGACCTCTCTGACTTAGACTTATTGACACGACATCAACCGCTTAGATGGCATTGAGTGCTTGCCAACATGGATGACTGTAGCATTGTATTAGGGACATGTCCATCCAACCTGACGGGAAAGGACGAGGTCTCCAACGCTCGGAACTTTGAGCTGCCTAGTGCACGGACTCGCTGTCTTGCTGGGCTTCGGCATTGACCAGTTGTCCCTCCCTACAAGGTCTGAACTCCCATTCTGACGTCTCGAAGTACCCGTCGCGAGCTTGGGAGGAGTCACAACCAGGATCACAGAACAAATGGAGGTTTCCGAAAATAGGGGACCCTTATATGGCACCCTAAATAGTAGGATCCTCATTCTAGGAACCCCAAAATACGGTACAGTACCCCTATTTTTCGGAAACTCCCAAATTGTCCGAGTCCTTTTGCGGCACTCTGGCTCAAGGATTCAACGGCTCCAAGGCTCTGTGAGTTGCAATGACACCCACGCCTGCGACAAGTCTCCTGAGGCAGCTCGGGCAAGCGCAGACTCTGTGACAAGAAGAATCGCTGCCTACCCAGAGTATCAACTTCCAAAAGTGTGAGATTAGAAGCCTGCCTGCCAGATTGATGCCCTCTGCTTCTGCAGTTGCTGTGGCATCGCTTTTATCAACCCCTCGCAGATGTACCTACATCTGCCCGACTAGTCTCCTTCAGCACCAGTAAGCATGGCCCAAACGCGCGCAGGGGCAGCAGCGAACTCCCCTGTCACCCTCGACGACACCTTGCTTGACTTTGCGAAGACTATTCAGCTAGAGGCATGAGACAAGTTACAGCTGGGATAGCCGGGTTGGGGCAGAGAAGCGTTCATGGCGATATGGTTTTTTGACCCTTCGATGTCGGATCATCCTACTGAAATTCTCTTGCCTGTGCTGCGGACTGCTCTCACGATCTGCGGAAGGCTCTGAAAAGAACCATGGAAACCCTCCACCAAGGTACATCGTGCAACGCCAAACTCAACAAGGTATTTGACTCCTTCATGACCGCCAACTATGTGGCCGTTGTAATGAGGCTACAGGACCTGCGTCTGAACGACTGCAAAAAGCAAAGCCGGCGTCAGTTGTGGCGTTCATACCTGAAGCGGCAGGTGATGCATGAGGCATCAAGCGGCTCCTGCAGAGATCCGGTTTGGTACACTCTGCAGCAGCATTTGTACTAGGCTTGGTCCAGCAGCTGCAGATTAGAAGAAGCATATCCAATCGGCCGAGTGACGGCGAGACGCCGCACGAAGGGGTTGCCAATGAGGTACGGCAGCCTGCCCGAGCAGAACGGCAACCGGCTGATTGCCGCGAAGGGCGACTGAAGCTTTGGATCGGATAAATGAAGCCTGAAACACGCTATAATATCCAGTCCCCTTTTGTCCTGGATCATCAGAAAGATTACGCTATGACCCAGGAACTGTTCGCATGATACAGACTGGCTGGCTGCCTGACTCGAGGGTTTCCCAGGTTTCATATATATATATATATATATATATATGTATATATATATATATACATACATATATATATATATATACATACAGACATATTTGTATATGTATATGTGTGTACATATCTGCTCCCTGCCGTCGGTCCGGATTCTGTCCTTCCGTGGCTTTGCTTGTGGAGGTACGCGCACACACAAAGGTACATACGCACATCACATGCCTCACCTTCCACGCAGCTAGATGGGCAGGCTGATTACCGGCAGATGGATGCAGGGAAGATTAATTACATGATTGCACGACTGCACATGCAGAGAAAGCCCATGTCATGCATGCGTGTGCATATTGTGTATACATGCGTAGATATGTACATACGCGCACACATGCACACATAGATGCGCATATACAAGTGTACCGGCGCGCGCATATACATTTTACAAGGATGTCATTCAAACATGGAGCTGCGACAAAGTCCGTGTTTGTGTGCGAATATGCCGGAAAACAAACACGAAAAGTACAAACAACTATATATGCATGTGTGTATGTGTGCCTGTGTGTGCATACTATGTATGCGTATGCGGTTCCGCATGAATGTGGGTGTGATGTGTGCATGCATGCATGCCTGCCTGCCTGGATGGGTATGCATGTATGTATGTATGTATGTATCTGCATCCATACAGAGACTTTCTTGAAATCAAACACCAGAACCATTGCAGCAGCACCCTCGTAACCACCATCACCAGCGCCATCACCATCCTCGGTCTTCACATGTGCTTCCTCGTCGTCGTCCCCATCATCTTCATCATCTTCACTATCAGCACCATGAACGACGCCATTGCCGTCACTGTGCACAGCATATTCGAAAGTGAGCAAGGTAATTAACATGCAAGCATGAGTCCATGTATCGAACGCTTTCAATGAAGGGTTCCCATGCTTCCGATGCAGACGAACATGCACCAAGCCGCTCATCCAGGCTTCGGGAGCCGCGCGGGGGCGCATCAGCATCCGCTTTTTGTGGAAGTTCCTGAGAACAACAGAGGGGAGAGAAGAGCGAAAGAAAGCGCCAATGCGATCTGTGTACAAGTGCCAAGGGCCATCATGGTCGCTGGCCACATGGATTTTTTCCAGACCCTCGAAATGTTCAAGAACAGCACATCCGTGACAACGGAAGCCCGCTGTGTCCAGAGATGGGCTCTATACCTTTTCAATGCGACCACATGGCCATCCTTGGGAAAAACACCTGTAAACAACCAAGAGTCTCTGGGATCTGCGGCAGCTGTTGAACTTCCATCGAAGCACGCCTGAGGGTGCGTAGGAAAATGCACAACAAACAACAAGCCTGGCTTCACGCAGCAGCCGGGGCCACAACATGAACTTGGGGGGGCCCCTGAACCCTCTTAAGTTCATTATACTTTGCTGTGCGTTGCGCAGGAGGTCCATGACCGAAGACCCCAAGTACAGTACATTCTCGCAGCTCGAATGTCCCACGACAAAACAGTGTGCTGGGATCCCTGCTGGGCCCATAACAACAGCCGTAACTGTACTTCGAACACCCGGCATCGATGTAACACCCCCACACCGAGTACATGAGATTATGTAGGGGTGGCGAACACACGACCATTTGGGCTTGACGAGGGGGGTCGAGACGAGCCATGTAAAGGCATCCAGACTGTCATCTACGGCCTTCAGCATCCGTCTCGTGCTGCAATGACAATTTTCTGTAGAGTGGCTTTGGCAGAACCCCCGTCCACAAACTAACTTCTTGATGCACCCAGCTTAGCCAGTCGGCCGCATCGACCCTGGAGTCGAGTAGGACTGCGTTCCGCGCGACGCCACCTTGCAAGCACGTGTGAGAAGTGTTGCACCGCTGGTCATCGGATTGTTGGGGCGCGTGGAGATGCATGGAGAAGACGGACAAGGTTAACCAGGTGAAAATGTCGGATGTGGATTGATTGTCACTTGCCGGATCTGGTTCAAACTTCCTTTTGGCTCACTCTGGGTTTTCTGTTCCTGAGGTGAGGAAGAATGAACAGCCTGGTCAGTCTTTGCATGCATAAAGTCAATGTGGCGCGAAAGCTTCGTCTCCGTTGACCATGGCATACACCCGTCATCCATTTCAAACGCCAACAAGAAATAGGAACAAGCAGTGAGCTAAAGCTCAAAAGAAGTACAAGTACCTGCAATTTGCAAGTCGCAGAGCATCCAGGCTGCTTGAGCGTCGTCGCTGGAACGCGGCGGCAGCACCCAGTACTGCTGCAGGCACACAGCTCCTGTCGCGAGAATCTCTAGAGTTGGGGTTCTCGATCTCCCTCACTCATACTTTGCTACGTCGGCACTCTGGGATACAGGCTTAATCCAAAGGGCGTACAAAGGCTCTGCAGCCAGAAGCCAAGGTAACAATGGCAAAACTTACTGTGTTTAGACGGTACGAGTACCTGGTGACAGAAGCAGCTCTGCTTTCCTTGGGACGGTTGCTGCGGGCCCCTGCTGCGTCTCTCGGGGCAGCCAGCCAGGGCGGAAAGCTCCGAAAGCATTTAGTGCAGCCTGTGGCGCACTGGGCGCCACCAAAGCCATAGCTTCACGTCAAACTTGGAATCGCCCGAAGAGGCATTAGGAGGCACATGACATCGAGAGCGTCTACTCCGAAATTCGCCTTCGGCTCACGGAGGCTCTTGATCTGGAGTTAATTAGTCCAGTCCAATCGCAGTTGGGCTAGCTCAGGGATCGGATTGCCAAAGGCGATTGAGAAGGGGATCACTTTCGGCTTGCATAGGCGAGCCGGTCTGCTTCGTTTTCGTTCTATTTGGCCTCGAAGTTCGAAGGGCGTCTCTGTACACATGCAGGTGGCTGCTGCCTTGACCCAAGTAGCTTTGGACTGCTTCGACCTGTGCGTCGTGAGATGCCAGTGCCGAGCCGGGGAAACGACAAACGCATGCGTAAACATACCTTGCAAAACCGAACATCAATTAGGCAGCGGACTCTGCAATCAGTAGGTTCAACTCTGAAACGCAGGGGTCCATGAGATTCAGTCGTTGGGCCTCCATGATAATGCTGTAAACCTTAAATGCAAGTGCAAATATACATAAATGCATAGATACTATGCGCAAGACAAATGCCAAGCCGTGCGGCACATGTGTGTGTGTGTGTGTGTGTCTCTGTGCCCGTGCGTGTCCGTGTCCGTGTCTGTGCGTGCGTGTGTTTCTGTGTCTGTGTGTGTGTGTGTGTTCGTAGGTTTACCCACTGACTCTTCATATGGGTTGCACGTACGCCGCATACTCTAATGTCTGACCGAGGCTCCATCAACCCCATTTGCTGTATCTGCACATACAAGCATGCGCATGCACAAACCGTTTTTTTATTGTGTGTATGTACGTATATATATATATATGTTGTTCTATAAGTATATATGTATACATATATTATACAAGAATGTAAGCTCTCGTTCGTACGTCTATGCTGTCCATGCATGCCGGCATGCTTACACGGAGATGAAGCGAGGGAGGGAGGGAGGGAGGGAGGGAGCCTGGGCGCGGGGGTCAGACCCTGCACCCCTCATCATAAGCCCCCAAAGCCCTGCACAATCCAACACGATCGGAGGCGCTTCAAGCAGCCGAGGCCGCGGCAGAGGCCGAAGCAGCTCGAGGTCTCGGAGATGGATCGCGAAGAAAGCAGGCATGGATTCTACTCCCTCTCGCAAAGCAAAAAATTCTGAACCCTTTTGCTGCAGGCGTGCATGCAAGGACTGAAGTGAAAAATGTCTCAATGACCCCGAATCATAGATTTTGTACCGCGGTTGCGCAAGCAGGCACATACCAAATTTTGCGATGCTGTCTTGCCGGTTCAGAGCTAAATTGAGATGACCTTCGGCAAGCATAGAGTTTATGTTTCAATCAGGCTCAGCGATGCCCGGAGAGAGCATAGGACTCGCTTTAACGGAGGGTTCCCGGCGCTTTTGTCACCAGCGAGAATTGATGAATGGCTTAGAGGGGGTGTACTGTATTCAACTTGTATTCAGCAAGTTCCCAAGGCAACCATGCAAGCAAGCGGCAAAGGAGGGATTGGGATGCTCGTCTTAGTCCTCAGGGCTGCACTCTGAACCCGCCCGAATGAGGACATGTGAAGAGCAAAGTTGCCGAGTCAGAAAGGGGTTTTGTATATGGGCACATGTGCCGCTGACTCCATCTTGCTCCGGAACATGATCTGTTTGCTTTTGGTTTCTGGGCGGTTACTGTAATATCGACAAACTAACAGAGAGAGAGAGAGAGAGAGAGAGAGAGAGAGAATGAAAGATACAGAGAAAGAGACGATGGCAGAAAGTGAGGCAAGAGCGAGTGAGAGAGAGAGAGAGAGAGAGAGAGAAACACAAAACGACAGAGGGAGAGGGAGGGAAGGAGGGAGGGACGGAGGGAGGGACGGAGGGAGGAGGAGGAGGAGGAGGAGGAGGAGGAGGAGGAGGAGGGGGAGGGAGGGAGGGAGGGAGGGAGGATGGAGGGAGGATGGAGGGAGGATGGAGGGAGGGAGGGAGGGAGGGAAGGAGGGGGAGAGAAGGGAAGGAGCAACAAAGGGCATTAAGCATTCATTAACTGCAACCCGACATGTGTTCGTCCCTGGTCCAGCCACTTTATGGTTCTTCCCGCCGATTGGAAAACTTGCACAGAGACGACTACAAAACACACCTGGACCTAGAGTTGGAGATTGCAGCAAGGAGATTGATCAGCCACTTGTCAAACAAGCATGTGCGTCCTGTGCTCCAGCTGCGAAGGAACCGGCCTGGATGCACTGTACGAGTCTCTCTGCGTCTCGAGAATGCAAAGACTTGGCCAGCACAAAAACAAGCCTGGTTCCTTATTATGACTATGGTACAATATACCCCCAAACCCCTATTCTAATTATTAAGGCCCCTGTATGTTAGGATGCACCGGGCCTACGCCTGAGCACTTCGAATCCTCTTGGGAGGCCAGGTGAAGTCGACGCAGTCCGATAGCCACGGGGGTGCACTCAACTTCTCGCACCGGGGGCAAGACGCCACAGGATCACCGGTCGTTGGCAGTTCAGGACCTGCTCCGGGAATACAATCCGTGCAACCCACCGTAGTCTGTTGAGAACTGGAAGTCATGGCACGTCCACACACGAGCAGGGTCGAGAAATGCAGGTGCGAGTTTCACCGCCGGTTCCTACTACTCAATTTTGCCGTCCGAGGATCAATGCTCGGGATTAGACGGCTCAGGAGAGTCGCTCTGGAATGAGTAAGAACTAAGAACTTACCAATAACAGCAGGGGCAGTGCCGGAAGCTGCGAAGTTTGGTCGTGCTGTGATGACATCTCTGCTCCAGTGCCTGGCTGGGGCTCATCTTTCGACCTCAGCATGGCAGATACAGACGTCGGGATGCAAAGTTCCAAGATTCAGAGCGAGGCCCTTCGAGAAGTCGCAAGGAGCAATGGCACAAACTCCAGGTCAAGTCAGTGCAATCGTACCTGCGTCCACTGCGAGTCTTGCCTGGAATATCCTGGAGTGTCTCAAGGCTGCGGCTGCTTCTTGGACGATGACCTCGCAGCGCCTTCTCAAAGAAACAAGGAACCAACAAGCTTCATGGGCTTCAGGCTCCAACCCTTCAAGGGTAGTGACGAAGCCCACCAACCGGAAACCGGATGATAAGACCGCAGACTCAAGACCGTTTGTCACGAAGTTGGAGGGTGTCGCAGCGAGTGAACTGCAATGATGATGCTCTGTGGCAATATCTCAATTCTCATTCCTTCCCGTCATTGCCGGTTCTCAGCTTCTATCCTGCAAGCAATTACAAATCCAACCAAACATGTATAGACGCTGCTGGCGACGTCTGGCCTTCGTGGTAGGATCCCTGGTCGTCCGGCACCTACAGCAAAAAGGCAAAGCTGTGGGCAATTCGTACGCCAAGCCTTCCCAAACACGTTTTCCCGAATGTGCAGCACAGGCATCTCGTTTAAAGCTTTGGAGGTCTGGGAGTTGACACGAAACCGCCTGGAGTGCGGCAAGCACAGGGAGAATTCCACACGAGCCATGTCCTGGGGTGTGTTGTGGAAGGTCCTGGAAATCGGCGAGGAAGGGGGAAAGAAGCGATTTTCCACGGGAGACTGGCCCTGGAAGCAGAATCGGGCCGATCGAATGTCACTCGGGGCCAGCATTCCCTTACAAATACGTTTGTTGCTGAGTTTTCCGTGCACGGCACAATTGGATTTCGGCTGGTACAGCATCCTATGTTTTTTCCGGCGACTGGGAAAATCTTGTAAGCGAGAACCAGAGATGGGCAGAGATCGCGGGAATTAAAAAACCTCCGGGGCCGACGCTCCGAGCGCATTGCGCATAGCCTCTGCCTTGGAGACGGGAGCCGGAACGTCTCTGGTAGATTCATCTGGTATACTTACGTGCTGTCACGAAATCCTGGGAAAGCGGAGGCTGTTTAGGAGATCAGGCAGTTCAGGTCCTTTCAACCGGATTGTTCCCGACACATATTTCTCTCCTACAATGCTTCAGCTTGGCTGAGAGCGTGGCCCAATCTCTGGTGTGTGTTTGCCCTGCTTGGAAGCCTGGCTGCGGGAGTGGGAGCTTAGAAAGATGGGCTGTACATGCTGTACCCAATCACCGCACCTAAACACCGTTTCAAAGAGAAGCTGCACGCATGCATCTCATCTTTCTCAGGAAAAGGTGCCGTTCCAAGAGTTGGATTCTTCCGAAATGTCTTGCGCCTACGCGCTTGTTCGCAACGACCTCGATGGCTGGCCTCACACTGATGAGCATAATCCAGCAGGAGAGGCCAGTTAAAGCGAGGCAGTATGGCATGGATGACGACTTACTCAGCATTTAGTTCGAGCAGAGCTTGGCAAAGAGTTAATGTTCGTGGCAGCCTTCCGCTGGCCCGGATTGAATGAAGCTCCCTATATTAGGGGTACCCTATTTTGGGGTCCTTATAATAAGGATCCTACTATATGTATTTATGGTACTATATTAAATTAGGGTCCCCTATTTTCTCTTTCCCAACACTGTTGGAATCTGGAGCGCAGCAATGGAAAGTGGCACGGCTTTTTTTGCCATTGCAGCCGGAGCGGCTCCGAAGCTCGCCGTGGCCGCGGCTGCAAAGCTGCCTGGCGTCACGACAGCTTTCTGGTGATTCCGAAAGCTTTTGTACTGCATTGACTGCGGAAACTCAATACATTTGTGAACTGTTCAGAACAGGCGTTGAGTGAACTGATGTTCAGAGAAGAGACAGAGGACTTGGTAAACTGAGGAGAAAGGCATGACAAAATCGACCCGTATAAGTGGCTACCACTACTTTGGCTACTGACCTGGTTTCTCCGCTGAGCTGGTGATTGATTCCCCATGTGTTTCACTATAACGCAGTCTGCATTACTAAGCAGTCCAGACATAGGCTGCGGGAAAGAGCATCTTGAGAACAGTAGATGTATATCATCCGGGGAGCTGCTGTGTAGGGCTTGCGGCAACTGAGAAGCAACAGTCTTAAGAGCACTGTAGCAAACCATAGCAAAATTGCGGAATGGTATCCGGCACAGTATCTGCGGCCTGGAGACCGCAAGGTGCC